AGGCCAGGGGTAATTAATGAGGGTCCCACTAGATAACATCCCCCCCCCCTGTCCATAGTCAGGGGAGAGAAGGTGCCGTCTGCCTCTTTCTGCAACTTCATGCCACATATATGTTTGATAGTCCAGGGGTCCATGGGGTCGCGAAGAGTCGGACTCGACTGTGCGACTGAACAACAACAACAATGTAACCTTAAGGGAGGCCCATCTCCACCATTTGATAACCTGAGCCTCAAGGCAAATCAAGCCTCCATTCTTGCTGGGATGAGAATGCAGAAACGGTGCAACTAAATATTTGTGCAAGGAGAAAAGCCGCTGGGAAGCCCTTGCTGAGTATTGATACTTCTGGCACGAGTGGTGCTTGTTCAGGTGGACAAATTGGGGAAGTGAAGGAAACCAGATATGTATAAAATATTTCCTTTCTCAAAACACCGGCATGCTCCACTAGAGAGCATGGCGTTCTAATGTACTATCGGGTGGGAGAAAGGCACCCCTCATTCCAGTGAAAAAGAGCTCGCAGAACCCATCCATTTAGCTATTAAAGGTATCTGTTTCTATTCTGGTGTCCTGCGGTTGCAATCACTTTCTTCCCTCCAGCTGACGTTCTCGAAGTGTGAAGGACAGGCCTCTCTAAGGAGGCATGTGGGCCAGGTTCTCAGGTGACAGACGGGCTGGAGGCAGGAGTCTGACTGAAGGCTGGTGGCATGGAGTGGGGAACCTCACCCCCCCCTGTAATCTTGTAAACCATCTCAAACTGGGCACCTCTAAAATGGAATATTGGCCTCTTTGCTCTGGACCTGTTGGGTGGTGAGAAGGCCAGCGTTCCAGGGACCATCCGGGCATGCCTCTGAGAGTTATAGACATGCATGTTCCCTCAGCAACCGCACCATCAAATGGTGACTTGTGTGTGTGAAATGGCCATTACGAGTCATGTGCCCCAGACCAAGTTTTCACATATTCCGACAATCACCTCAAAAACAAGTACCTTTCAGACAAGATAGTCCACATCTAGCTGTACCATTATTAAATAATGAGTTCACGTGTTGGTATGAATCAGCCCTCTATCACAGAGGTACTATTTAAATAAAATGGGGGGGGGGGCAGAAGGGAGAGGAATGGATTTGCTACAAAAATCAGGAGTTCTGTCTTCACATATAGGGATGGATCCTGTCTAAATTCTGTGCAGAGAAGTGCAACTTCCCTGCCTCCCCTCCACTGAAGCAACCCCAAACACCCCCTGAAATTCTGTTACTGGGTGATGGGGGACCCAAGTAATAGTAGGGGGGAGTTGGAGGCCTGCCCTCTCTTGTATGTGTGTGCGTCTTTTTGAGGAGATCCAACCCACAGTACATTAAATCGCCAAAGGCTGTTTCTAAAAGCAAGTATGATGTGATTTTTTTTTAAAAAAAATCTTCTTAATAAACCGGAAGTAAAGGTGATCCTGAGGAAGAATCGCATGTGCCCCAAAATGAGGGGAAAGGGACTGCTTTCCCCTGCCCCACTTAGAAGTTGCCCCTGCTGTAGGATCAACCATAAAATATACCATAGCAGCAGCTATCAAAGTTGTGGCAGAAAGGAGTTTTGGATAAAAATGAAGCCGTATGTGATTCAGGGTAGGCATTCTGAAGTGTAACAATTTGTTCACTGACCCTATTTCAACACACACACACCCCGCCCCAGACTCTATCATCTCTCGAAGACATGTTAAGATGTATTTCTCCTCTACGCGGTGTTTTACTGAAGACGATCCAATATGGGTGGAACGCTAATTGCTGCACCCAGGGCTTTTTTGTAGAAAAAGCCCAGCAGGAACTCATTAGCATAATAGGCCACACCCCTGATATCACAGCTCATTAACATATTAGACCACACCCCCATATTACCACACTCACCTTTTGCTTCTTAGTCTGTTTACTCTGTTTCTTGTCAAAACCCAGGGCTTTTTTTGTAGCAGGAACATCTTTGCATGTTAGGCCACACACCCCTAATGTAGCCAATCCTAATGAGTTTCTGCTTTTAGGTGTGGCCTATTATGCTAATGAATT